TTGTACGATGTGAGGGTCTAAGGACAGAGGGTCTAAGGACAGAGGGTCGTATTGTCATACTGATATTCTGTACAAACTGTGAAGTCCACTGAGACAAATGTAACGTTTGTGATATTGGGCTATATAAATAAACATTGATTGATTGAACACACCTTAACGTGATTTTTGACTGGCTATTTGTGATGCTGATACCCAAAACTGTTCACTTGCTCTACATTACTCTGTTGATTTAGACAGTGTGAATGCCCACTGAGCTACACCTACTGAAAACCACCCACTTACATTTGGTTAATGGAGGCTGGCCCACGTCACAGCCAATTACTTTAACACTGTTTCTCTGAATGATGAGAGAAACAGAGAAAGAGCTGTACGTCATATATACACTTAAAGCTTTGTAAGGATGTAAAGACAGTCGTATAAATAATAATAATAATGCATTTTATTTATATATTGCTTTTCACAACTCAAAGACGCTTTACAGTATGAGGGAGGGTAGACAAACAAGGACAGGCAAACAAGTATATAGTAAAATAAAAAAATAAAAAGGCAGTCAAGAGGAAGTTGATTGAGAGGGGGGGGGGGGGGGGGGTGCTGGCATAGTTGGCTGCTTAACAGCGACAAAAAAGGCCACCCACGTCAAGAATGAGGAACATCGATGAAAAGGAATTCAGTTATGGCTCATCAAGGAAATCAGTGGCATTGGAGCCGAGATATATTTAGACAATATTATATTTCATTACACCTACTTTTCCCTGCTTATTGAGTACTGGATTCTGATAGGTCAATTTGGACATTCCGAAGGTTGTTTATTCTCTATAACAGACCGTTGCTAAGGAGAACAGACCGTTGCTAAGGAGAACAGACCGTTGCTAAGGAGAACAGACCGTTGCTAAGGAGAATATGTGCAGTCATATAAATCCGCGGTACATTTTAACCTCGGATGTTGACAACAAAGTTAGTTTTCTCCATCAGAAAATCCCAAGGAATGCTTTTTTAATATTACTTTGATATATTTGTGGAGGGGAAAAAAACATTGGATTCATGATGGCTTTCGATACGTTTTAAATCATTCAATCCCATACAAATGCATCTGTAACATCAATGCTGTCAATATGTACTTTGTACTGAGTACTTTGAGGGATCTATCATTATTTCAGCTCATTTAATAAGCACTGTCAGAAAATACATTGCATTATCATTATTTTCCGGGTCCTTTTTTTCTTGGCCACTCTCAGCAATTGCATGCTTGGTTTGAAAAGATGTTTCTAAATTTAAACTGAATGTTGGGACTTCTTGTCAATTTCACGCTTCAATTGAGAAGGCTGTCAAATCATTTGGGCTGCTGTATAACTTAAATGTAAGATAGGAAGATAAATATTTCTTAAAAGAGCATTTATGTTGACTCGGCTAAAAGGACTTCCTGAAGCTAGTTCATGGTCTGTTCTTCAATAGTTTGGATTCTTCTTTTAACCAAAAATAGTGAAATGTAGTCTCCTCTAAAGGGGGTTGTGTCTGTCATGTATTTCAAGAAATAATGACCATAATGTCACAAAATGCGGACTAGACGTTCACAGAGAGTCATGCATTCAATAAAGAAAACAACTTTGTAATTGTTGTAATATATACACTATATAACACACAGGAAGTAAGGAGTCCAACAACCAAGAAGAGACTGTCATCTTTCCATCAAAGTAGGTGATTTGACATCTTACCTCACGCTTTGCTTCACCGCATCAACAGGTAAACTGCAAAGAATAAAGCTGTGTGTTTGCCTGCCATAACGTCTGGGTTTTCTCAATGTGTGTAGAGTTTAATTTTCAGCGAATCAATGCAACATCTCCTCCAGACTCAAACAAAGAAGGAGGTTAGCATCAAAGTTAGCAACAACTCCGGCTCAGGCGTACTTAAAGCCACTACTACGTTTAATTATTAACATCCCTACTGAGCTGTACATGAGCCAGGTGCAAACTGTTCCTCACTGACATTAAGTCTTTGGGTTATAATGACATCATCTCCAGAGCTGACATTAATCAAAGTGATCCATCGTCTCCTTTCTCCTCCAAACTGGGTCACTTGTTTTGGTAAAAGTGGTGAGACTCAGTAGTCCTGATGTTACCTAACGCACCTTTACTGCTGCTGTTCCTCCAGCTGTAGCTCAGAGAAGACATCTGATGTGAGACACTGTGATAGCAAGACACATTTAAAAAGTGAGTCTCTCTGCCCGGAGCATGGTTGTCTCATTAAAGTCGCCTCTCTTGCCTCTCTGTCTCCAGGATTAGCTCTGACGGGTCAGCGGGGAGTGCACGGATACACTTGATACATTTAACTACTTATTGTGTCGTCGTCAGAGAAAGGAAAATACTTTGAACAGATTTCTCTAAAAGTCTTGATTTGTGACATACCAGCCGTTCATCCATGACACGGCTCGGAGGGGAGACGATGCTCAAAGAAATGTGGTGTCTGTCAAAAGTAATGTTTATCTTCTGCGTGCACATCCACAGCCATTTTATGTGTTGTCTCTGAGTGCTGACATCATGCAGCATCTCCCAGAGAGACAAGTCTTTCAACCCTGGTTCTGTTTCATCCCATAGAAACCACAGAATAAACGGAGAAATTCTCCTGAAGAAACCCCAGAATAAACCGCAGAATAAATAGATAAATTCTGACATAGAAACCCCAGATTAAATCGGGAAAACTCCCAAAGAAACCCCCGAATAAATGGGGAAATTAGCCCAAAGAAACCCCAGAATAAATGGGAAAATTAACCCAAAGAAACCCAGAATAAATGGGAAAATTAGCCCAAAGAAACCCCCGAATAAATGGGGAAATTAGCCCAAAGAAACCTCAGAATAAATGGGGAAATTAGCCCAAAGAAACCTCAGAATAAATGGGGAAATTAGCCCAAAGAAACCTCAGAATAAATGGGGAAATTAGCCCAAAGAAACCCCCGAATAAATGGGGATATTAGCCCAAATAAACCTCAGAATAAATGGGGAAATTAGCCCAAAGAAACCTCAGAATAAATGGGGAAATTAGCCCAAAGAAACCCCCGAATAAATGGGGAAATTAGCCCAAAGAAACCCCCGAATAAATGGGGAAATTAGCCCAAAGAAACCCCCGAATAAATGGGGAAATTAGCCCAAAGAAACCCCCGAATAAATGGGGAAATTAGCCCAAAGAAACCCCCGAATAAATGGGGAAATTAGCCCAAAGAAACCCCCAAATAAATGGGGAAATTAGCCCAAAGAAACCTCAGAATAAATGGGGAAATTAGCCCAAAGAAACCTCAGAATAAATGGGGAAATTAGCCCAAAGAAACCCCCGAATAAATGGGGAAATTAGCCCAAAGAAACCCCAGATTAAATGGAGAAAATACTCTCAAAGAAACCCCAGAATTAATAGGTAAACTTCCACACAAAAAAAAACAGAATTAATAGGGAAATACTCCTAAATAAACCCCAGAATGAATGGGAAACAACTCCCAAAGAAATGCCATCATAAATGGGGGACATGGGGACCCTGTGAGTGCTGACATCATGCAGCACCTCCCAGAGAGACAAGTCTTTCAACCCTGGTTCTGTTTGATCCAATAGAAATAAGAAACAGCGTGTTGTATCCAGGCAACAAGTTCGTTGCCAGGTGACAGATACAGAGATGCAGAGGTCCTGAGACCAGAGCCTGCATGCAACAAACTCCACCATGAATAATGAGACATGTCCTGCTCACATTTCTTTGATACTCTGGCTTTGATCGCAGAGTAAACAATACACGTCTGTTTGCCATCATGTGAACAGAGAGTCGAATGCAATACACACTACAGATGAGCAGTGACAGTCGACTTCAGGCATTAATCAGATGCTTTAATTGCCGCATGAACTACACTATACTGGCTTATCAGAGAAAACAGACGGCATATATGGAAATAGCCATAAATGGTGGGTATTATTCAACATGCTTTTCCTGGGTCTTTCATGTGGCAGGCATGAACCGAGAGATGATCATTCCAAGGCGCCACGTAGTTCACTTTGATATCACCTTAGCAGGGGGCATTTGTATACTGAAGATGAAGCAAAAGCGGTAGATGGTAAACGGGGCACATGGAACATTAAAGCTGCATTTATCAACATATTATCACATATATCCAAACAGATCAACATATGCTACACGCCCAGAACTAAAGGAGAGAAAGACAGTGTGAGATACTTGTTAGGAAAGTCAAACATTTAGTAAGTAAGTAAAGCAATGTACTACAAAGTTCAGGCTATAGCCACCACCATAATCAGACCTATGCTGCCACCTACTGGTCCAATCTGGCAACTGCAAGAATAAAAACATGTAGAGGCAACATTATGTAGAATTCTTGCAATTTATATTTCTTAAAGGTCCCATGTCATGCTTTTCTGGTTATCACCCGTCCCCTTGTGTGTTATGAAGGTTGTTCTGCATGTGAACGGTCTGCAGAGTCACAAACCCTCAAAGTACACCCTGTAGCGAGTAAAGCTCTAACACAGAGAAGACCTGTCTGTGCTGCCCCAGAACGCCTCGTTGGACATTTCGCTTTTTCCATTGTTTACTTCTTGGGTATAGTGACGTATTTCGGGTATAGTGACGTAACGTATTTTCCAAATGGACCAATCTGCGGAGCCTTTATGTTACGTCCTCGGAGCCGTTACGTTTGGACCAATCCACGGACTTCCTCACACACACACTCGGCGGGACGTTGCGAGGCTCGTTGCTAAGGGGAATATATATACAGTGTATGTGTTTTAAAGGTTGTAGCTACGATTTATATTTTTTGATCGGATATTTTTCGCTACATATTTGAAGACAATTACAATTATGCTGAAATAAAAATGTTGAGTTGATATCGTATTTTAAATGTAATGTTTTAAAGGATGTTAAAATAAATAAACTCTCTGAATATATACATATCGATAATAAGAGTAAATATATATTTTTCAGAAAGTAAACAACATTTAAAAAAAGAGTAGAGAATGCAATTCATGTTTTAATTCATTTAACCCGAGTCAGCTTTATTCATATTCCACACAAATTAATTTAGTAAATCCAGACCCCTTATATCTGAATTAAATGCATAAACAAAGACAGATACTATGATAGAACATAAACAGAAGAGCTTTACTGTTTCTCCAACAATGCTTCAACAAAAAAAAGGGACGTTTTGAAAAATGAACAATGACATTTATATCACAAATCACAAATCACACTTTAAGTGCTGAAAACGATCAATCCATGACGTTAACATTAGCTCTCCTTCGAAGGTAAAAGCAACAAAAAGGATCAGTTTGGATTCTGTACTTTTATTGATGTGTTGTTATTTTAATTCCTACATGTTTTTGTTGAAAACTCCCAGAGTTCAGACTGTGTGTGTGTGTGTGTGTGTCTCTCTTTTAGCCCCTGTCTTGTGTCCTTCTGTGTTTATGTGAAATCAGTCAGCAGACAGCACTTTTAGTATTGTGTTGTCATCCTAAATGTTCATGTTGAAAACCTGCCAGAGTTCATACGGCAGGTCATTCTGTGTTTAAGTGAAATCTATGACGTTAACATAAGCTCTCGTCTGAATGTAGAAGCGAAACAAAGATCACTCAGGTGTTAAGATTCAGCAGACAGCACTTTTAGTATTGTGTTGTCATCCTAAGTGTCCTTGCTCAAAACCTCCCAGAGTTCATACATCACTCAGAAGACCTCCAGATCTGCAGCGTTGTAGACCACCGCCGTGTCCTCGATGCCCGAAGCGCTTTCCTCCTGACCTTCCTCTTCTTCTCCAGCGTCCTCCAGTGACTCCAAAGCCTCGTTAGTATCACTGGCGAACGTTTCCCTGGAGACATCGTCGTGCTCCTGCAGGTTCAGCGTGCCGATGGCCTGCTTCATCTTCTTCGCCACCATGTTCCTCCTCCTCTTCTGCGCCGCCTTCTTGCTCTTGCAGTCGTTGTGTTGTTCCTCAAAGAAGATCTTCTTGATCTGGCCCTTGCTGATGCTCGGTGTGTTCTTCAGGAGGTAGAGATAAACCCCGCCGGGCGTCCTTCGCCTGCTGCCGTCCATCGTGAACACGCCGCCATTTTCCTCCAGCGTGGCGGTCTCTCCCAGCAGTTCGATGGCCTTTTTATTCCCGATGACTTTAACGATGCGCTCGATTAGGTCTTTTTTAGGCTCCCGCAGCCTGTACGCTATCTCATCCGTCACCCTCTCCTCAAGGTCGTCTTCTGTGACTACATATCGACCCTTAGTGTCCATTTCAGCTCGGGGGCCGATTCTCTCTTTCGCCGATCTCTTCCTCTTGGTATCTCCTCCCGATTTCTCCTCTGATCCTCGCTCCTTCATGTAGTCCTCCAGCTCCGTGTCCAGCATGTTCACCTCTCCGTCTTTATTCGCCAGTTTCTCCAGCTCCCTCTCCTTGTCCATTATCTTACGGGCCAGGACAAAGTTATACGTCTCTACATTCCTGCTGGACATGCTGAATTCACCTTCCATGCCAAATATGCCCAGCTCTGCAGCCACGGCATCCTGGCACTGCTCCTGCACCACAGAGCCCCAGATGTTGTTCACCTTTCGGCCTCCTGGAGCGTTCGGCACGTCCATTCGGGTCGGTTCTGGTCGGGTGGCGGTGGTGCTGGAAGGCGGCGGCTGGGCGTCGCTGGATGCTTTCAGGCGTTTGTGGCGCCAAACGGCCGAATCCTCGTCCGAAGAATCCTGGTCACTGTCGCTGGACACCGGCTTATTTCCACTTCTGTACGAGGCGGCAGAAGGCTGGACAGCGGCTCTGTTGTGGAAGGACTGACCGCTAAAAGCTGCAGGAACCTGGGCTGTTCCCATCTCAGTATCCGAGCCAGATCCGGAGATCTCTCCATCTTCCAGGTCACCGTCCATTAGATCCCCTCCACCGGCCATTTCTTGTCTGGAAGGCACGCCAAAGATAATCAGTGATGTAAAGTAACTAAGTAGATTTACTCAAGTGCTGTACTTAACTTGAGAATTTCAATGTTTTGCTACTGTGTACTTCTACTACACTACAGTTCAGAGGTAAATGGTGTACTTTTACTCCACTACATGTATTTAATACCTTTAGTTACTTCACAGATGATGAATGATGTGAAATCTAATCAAGTGTTGAATCAGACTTTAGTTCCACCTGGAGTAAATCCACCAGCTACCCTGCAGTATACAAAGTCATTCAAACTAGCTGCACCTTCACCAGCTTTGAGAACACTTTAATGATCAATCATTATAAAACATATCATATATATTATTCTGAAATGGACCAATCTGCACGATGACTACTTTTACTGTCGCTACTTTCACTATATTTAGATGATAATACTTTTCTACTTTTACTTAAGTAACATTTTGAATGCAGGACTTTTACTGTAACAGAGTATTCCTACACTCAAGTACTTCTACTTTTACTCAAGTACAAGATCTGAGTACTTCTTCCACCTCTGTATACATAATAACGCCCACTGTCTTAATGCATCAGCCAACGTTAGGGCTACGCATTAGCAACAAGAGCTAACACAACATTAGCAACCAGAGCTAACACAACATTAGCAGCTAGCGAAACTATCTTGGTATTAAACCGCAGGCAGAGAAGAGAAACAAGGGTTTTGTTCATGCTGAAATACCTTCAAATATCCGACTCCGTAGTGGTCTCTCTGCTCTGCATGAAGTTGTATTTTAACCCTTGTTTTGTCTCTAATACTCACTATAGAGAGCTATGAAGAACGTTGACAACCAGAAGACAAACTTGAGATTTCTGAAGAGATTCGCGCGAGAAGAAAGGTCCATTTCCGGGTCCCAACTGACAGATCCTTTCAAAATAAACTGAACGATGGAAAACAAAAGTAAGAAAGAATGGGACTATTTTAACAGTAAATCATATTTAATATAATCAGAAAAACAAACAAAATTATACTTTTTGACGGAGCCTAGAACTAATACTCAATTTAAACTCTGTAATTATTTGCAAAAACGCAGTTCTGTAGGCTGTTTTGAGGTCGATTTGGAAGATTTAAGGAGCTCTTGATCATATGGACTGTAGAGACTTGACTATTTATTTGAAACAAACGTTTTAATGTTCGCAAAAATGTTGTTTTGTTCCTTTAAATGAAATCCTCTGCTCCTTAACGGCGGATGTAGCGTAAGATTGCGTGATTGAACGCGACGCATGCGCAGTGTGACAAACAAACAATATGGCGGCGTCCTTACAGCGCCTCACGTCTGCTGGGAGAAATCTCCTTCAAAGGAATTTACTGAAGACATTTTCTTCAAACAGGGTAAGAAGATTGTGTTTATGGTGGTGTTTTGGTTATTATACCTTCTCTCCAGGTGTCAAAATTACAGTTTAACTGAGGAAAAGCTCTCAATGTTTGCTGACAGTTAAAGTCTCTGGTAGCTTACATAAGGCAATTCAAGTTCTGGTAATATGTGAAGTATAATTTAATTTAAACGTAAACACAGGTCATTTAAATTCATTATCAATAACGGGTGGGTTGTAACATATGATGCCACTGTCCTAAATCTGCAGTGTCATCATGATAGACTGTTAATGTATTGGACATTTTAGTACAACCCTAGTATACCCTTCAAAGTCAAATGTATTGTCAATTCCTCTATTTGTGTGATACAGACAGGACATTTAGTTTCGACTTATATACATACATACACACCTTTACCCCAACTTAAATATACCTATACACATCTACATACTCATAAATGCACACATATACACGCATTTAGAGGTATTAATACATAGAAGGTACAACAGTAAATATATACAACAGTGTTTGTATAATCATGACTTTCAACTTATAAGACAAGAAGTCTTCATCTTTTGGAGCTGATTTGACTTTAGTTTTCTTCAGTGTAGAAGGACTATTACAACCACTTGAACTCAATTTGAACCTATGGCTGTCTTAGTGTTTAAAACTCTATTTTAGTTGGTGAATTTGACCTTTTTAGGCTATGACACTGATTAATAACATATGTGGGATTGTTTTTGCAACACAGCTTCATACAACAAGGAATGATGAGATGGTGCATGTAGTCTTGAGTCCTTTCTGCAGGAAGATTGGTTGTTTGTTTGTTCCTAATAAACGATAGACTTTTCTTTTAGTAGTATCATCATGTGTGTGTTTTCTCCACCTGCAGCTCACACCTGGATCTCACAGACTGTTATCGACCCAGGCTGCTCAACAAGTGGCCCTCAATGTTCCTGAAACTAAGGTGACAACTCTAGAAAACGGACTCAGAGTGTCTTCAGAAGACTCTGGGCTCACCACCTGCACAGTAAGTTCACACACACACACACACACACACACACATACATACATACATACACACACACACACACACACACACACACACACATACCATGTATACATCACTTCAGGGGACATTACATTGACTTACATGCATTTCCTGGAGACTTATCCTAACCTTAACCATAACCAACACATGCCTAACCCTTAACCTTACCCTTAACCTTACCCTTAACCTTACCCTTAACCTTACCCTAAACCTAATCCTAAACCCAACCAAGTCTTCACCCTAAAATTAATGATTCCCCACACGTGACTGTGTAAACAGATTTAGGTCCCCACAAGTATAGTAATGCTAGGCCACACACACACACACACACACACACACACACACACACACACACACACACACACACCCTCTTTTGGACCCTGTCTTGTCAAACAATCATCGGGCAATTCAAGACTCAAGTATCTAAGTGTAGCAAATCGACAAAAAAAGTTAAACTGAACTTATTTATTTATTTACTTAGCATACATTCTATACATACATGCAGCCCCAAGGGGTGTTTCACATACATGACATTAGAGATTGTGATAAGACCAAGCAAAGTGGACATTTAAAAAGTGATCTCTAGTTCACAACATTGGTAAAAGCAGAAGGCAGCTTCATTAATTCACTGTTTTGTTCCAGGTGGGCCTCTGGATAGATGCCGGCAGTCGCTACGAGAACGCCAGAAATAATGGCACAGCACATTTCCTGGAACATATGGCATTTAAGGTGAGATAAAAACATGAACATACGTTTTCTTGTCTTCTATTGTGACTTATTTGCATCGTGCAACAGCTATTGAAGTTTGATGTCGATTTTTCTATAAACACATGCTTGCAAATGATACAACGGTGAATTTTACAGAGTGAAATAATTGCCTTTTGTTGGGAAAATACTGAACGTCCTCTTCCAGTCTGAGAGTCACATGATAACAAAGGCATCCCAACTGTAGCTGTGAACATGACAGGATGTGTGATTACCTAGAAGAGCATCAGGACTGTTTGAGGCAGATGATAGCTATGTGATTAACATGATGATTCAGCCTCTATGGAGAGAGACATCAAGCATGCTCATTTCTGACGTGGAGCTAATCTGAAGTAAACATTGAATACTGCTTTCTATTCCTCCATCTTGTGACTGTGTAACTCCCTCTCTTGATATCAGCATGTGAAGGACACTGTTCAGGAACTAGCTGATGCTCTGTATGTGATGACTACTTCCATTCTGGAGAGGATCACAGACACATGGATCCTGAGATTGAGATATTGAGAAAAAGTCTGAATTTTGAGAAAAACACAGAATTTTGGAATTTTTAGAAAAAGTCAGAATTTTTAGAAAAAGTCGGAATTTTGAGAAAAATACGGAATTTTTAGATTTTTAGAGAAAGTCAGAATTTTGAGAGGAAAGTCAGAATTTAGAAATTTTGAGAAAAAGTCAACATTTTGAGAAAAAGTCAGGATTTTGAGAAAAAGTCAGGATTTTGAGAGAAAGTCAGAATTTAGACATTTTGAGAAAAAGTCAGAATTATGAGATTTTCAGAAAAAAGCCAACATTTTGAGAAAGAACTTGGTACTCCTCCATCTTGTGACTGCGTAACTCCCTCTCTTGGATATCAGCATGTGAAGGACACTGTTCAGGAACTAGTTGATGCTCTGTATGTGATGACTACTTCCATTCTGGAGAGGATCAGAAACACATGGATCCTGAGATTGAAGATCAAGCCGGTGACGAGTGATATTTGTCTAACACCTTTTCTCTAACAATGCAAAGTATAACAGGTTTGCTGTCCTTTGTATCCTTCAGGGCACCAGGAAGCGCTCCCAGCTGGATCTGGAGTTGGAGATCGAGAACATGGGAGCTCACTTGAACGCTTATACATCTCGAGAACAAACGGTGTATTACGCCAAAGCTTTCTCTAAAGATCTTCCACGAGGTACAGTGCAGCAGTGTGGGGATGGACACAAAGAGAATACAAATGGCTATGATGGAAAGGAACATGTCACCATGAGGAGAGGACGAACAATCATTAAGAGAAAAATCCATAATTTGGCACAAACAAAAATAACACGTTCTGTTCAGGCTCAATTTTCAATAAATGAAGTCGCTAGGACTAGGCTTGGTACTTCTGAAGTTAAAGGATAATAGATAGTACTAAAGTTTAAGATGTTTAATGAAGTAAAGCAATAACTAAAAGCAGAACCACACGGTCAAAAGAAAATGTCTGAACCTAAATCAAAACCCTTCCTCTTTCCACAAACCCTGACATTCAGTGACAAATAATTATAATACATGTTATTTATATAGCGATTTTCCTGTTGCTCAAAGCGCTTTACAAGCAAGTAATGGAAAATACTTGCTTGACATTAACAGAAGATAACAAACCACAGCTAAATAAGCATTTTGGCTGCGACGCATTCAATGCACTGAACAGCACTGACTGATTAGTTTGAAATGGAAAAACGTTGCATTTATCTAAATGTGTTTTTTGTCCCCAGCTGTGGAGATCCTGGCAGACATCATCCAGAACAGCACGCTGGGGGAGGCGGAGATCGAGAGGGAGCGGGGGGTGATCCTCCGAGAGATGCAGGAAGTGGAGACCAACCTGCAGGAAGTGGTCTTTGATTACCTGCACGCGACTGCGTACAGGGACTCTGCTTTGGGACGGACCATCCTGGGCCCCACCGAGAACATCAAGTGAGACCCTGACCTGTGTGTGTGTGTGTGTGTGTGTGTGTGTGTGTGTGTGTGTGTGTGTGTGTGTGTGTGTGTGTGTGTGTGTGTGTGTGTGTGTGTGTGGTGTGTGTGTGTGTGTGTGGTGTGTGTGTGTGTGTGTGTGTGGTGTGTGTGTGTTGTGTGTGTGGTGTGTGTGTGTGTGTGTGTGGTATGTGTGTGTGTGTGTGTGTGTGTGTTTGTGTGTGTGTGT